TTATTCCGTGATTTCAATGGTAATGGCCCTTTGAAATCCATATTAAGCCGCTCCAGGGGAGCTGTCGCTTTATTGACCTACCCGTACAACCGTATATATCGAGATTTAATTTCAGCGCATACTCTGCAGTTAGCGGTCAATTGACGAATGTCATTAATGGAATATGGAAGATTTTTAGATCATATCCAGTGACTCATTCGTAATATTCCTGGATGACAAAGACTTTCGTGTATAGTTTTTACATTATTAAGGTCCATATGTGCACAGACTCTAGTTGATGCATCAGCGACGTTGTGTTCTTTGCCAAAGCGATAAATTATGTGGTATTTAAAACAAATACAACTCTAATCTCCAACGTTCGATCTTCTTGTTATTTATTTTGCTTTTGTTATTTATTCAAGCACTGTTGATCTGTAATGAGAAGAAAATTCCTTCCAATTAGATAGTAATCTAATTGGAAAAAAGATCACTTGCGCAAAGCTTCAACTATAGCAGCCGCTTCTTTCTCAATAGAAGATTGCCGCGAAGATTGCCGATTTACTGAGTCTGTTAGAGTGCGCGAGTAGAATGCAACGGGCTGGTCATTTTGTGTGAGGGAAGCAGCGAGAGCATGTTCCAACGTGTCCGTTTCTACAGCAAACATGGCATCTTCATTGATGGCAGACAAAGAAGCTTTTGCGATATCTGTTTATAGACCATTAAACGTCGTAATATCATCATTAGAGAGTGGAAATGCATTAATTGAAAGTAGTAGTTTTATTCTTTCGGAGAAATTTTGGATCCATCTAGAATAATGAGCAAAGAGCCCCAATGCTCGTTTTAACCCCGGTTTGTTCTCAGGCGCCGGCAGGTTAAGTAATGGCTTTAGCCGGTTCTCGTCTGGCTTGACCTTATTACTCTCAATGGTATAGCCAAGAAGATTGATTCTTTACTGTATACGCATTTGCTTTCATTGAGTGTGAGATTGTATTTAGCAGCAGCATCTCTAAATTTAGACAAATTTGTCATCTAAATATGAATATTTAGTTTTCCCACAAACCGTTACGTCGTGTAGATAGGCAAATATACCTGTTAAGGCTTCCCTTTCGATTATATGGTTCAGGGCATGCTGGAAGGCCGCGATGCCATTTGCTACTCTGAACGGCATTCTTGTGAATTGGTAAAGTTTGGCGTTCGCCTCAAATGCAGTGAATATACGTTCCTTGGGGATAACAGGTACCTGATGATTTGCACTTTTTAAATCAATCTAACTGAAATGACTATATTTAGTTACTTTTGTGACGATTGTTTCAATTTAATTCAATTGTTAATAGTTTGAGAGTAATCTATTACCATTCTCTTCTTATGTAGACCTCCACCTGCGATTAATACTTGTACTCGCCAAGGTGAGTTTATGTAGACCTCCACCTTTGATGATGATACCGTCTTTAAGTAGTTTTGAAACTTCTATGTTTATAAAAATTTCGTCCTCTTTTTTATGGTGTCTCGATCGAACAGCTATTGGTTTTATATGCGGCGATAAGTTAGTAAACAAGGATGCAGGCGCTACTGAAGCATCTATAATATTACAAATGTGTAATGGTTCTTGAGTGCCTCCAAATTTCAGTACCAATGAGAAATGGTTTTTGAGAATGTCGTGATCGATAATGACATCAGCACAAAGATTGCCGACAATTAGTAGAGGTTGCAGTTTTGTATTGGTACTTTTAAAGTTGAACATTAGCATGGCAGATACCTTGAATGAAGGATATGTGATTTAATGAGGCCAATGTGATAGACTGGACAAGGTTTGATTTTTAATTTCAATATTTCGACTAGCTTCCTGTCTGTAAAGCTTATAGAGGTTCCTGTGTCTATCAAAGCTTCAGCTTTATATCCGTCGAGTGTCAAAGGTACAGATGATTTTTTTAGACTGCTAGGTGATGCAGCAGATATAGTAGACAGTGCGTCATCACGCTGAACGTCGTGTTCAGTTACTGCGTCTGCTTTTTGTGGCTGTAAGGATACACATTAGCAAAGTGGCCCTTTTTCGAACAGATTTGACAGATTTCATTGAGAGCAGGATATTTGATACGTCATTGAACATTTTCGCCACAAAAAGCGTCGCTATCTCTGATTTGAGCGAACAGTTGGGGTAGTGGCAGCTATATTGTTTTCAGATTCAGGTAAGGCTTTAAGGTTTATTGGAGGAGTACTCGTGTTAATGAAAACTTGCACATTATTTTCCGCATCTTCAAGTGAAATCGTAAGGTTTACTGCTTCATCCGAGCTTAAATTTAATTTTTCTAACAATCTTTCTCTAATTTTCTGCGAATTTATACCTGCTATAAACGCACCTCTCACTGACTCATTCCGATGTTCTTCCGCAGTCACTTCCTTAAAGTGACACTCGAGTGTGAGAAGTTTTAAAGCTTGCATATATTCCTTAACAGTTCCGTCAGCTCTTTGTTTACGCTTGGTTAACAAATGTCTAGCAAGTATTTCGTTTTTGGGTTTTATGTAAATATTTTCTAAAATGTTGATAGCGTCGTCATATGTCTAGCTTGAGTGTATATAAGAAAATATTGTTGGAGACAGGTGATTTACTAACAGTTTTAATTTCTTTGAGTCGGTACTATCCGCGGCGTACTCTTCTGTTAAGAAATTTTCTAATGTAAAGCGCCAATGTGCCCATTTCAAATCCGATGCGGTTAAATTCGGTTCTTCCTCGAATACTCGGGGAGGAGGTAACGAGCGATAGTATTAACCTATTCAGTTTTACTTTCGGCCGGTATTTTACTGTTCGCCTTGCTATAATTGAATCTGGATAAATTGATACATATTAAAAGACAAACCAACAGAAAACTTGGCTTTATTCAGCTTTAAAATCATAAGTACGTGACATAACGTAATAACAGTCCATGGCAACAAGCCACAGAGTTGCACATCATTATGTTAAAAAGAATATTTTTTTAATGAATAATAGTGACATACAACATTAGTACGAGGAATAAAAATAAACTGGCTGTTCTTGACAAGTTTCTTCTCAGTTATAAATATCTACATTTAAGAGGCAATGTATATACAAAACTTACTAACATTCCGTTTGATATTAAAACCATTTACGTAGTTTAAAAGTGTAGTGAAACAAAACTTTATACTGAAGGTCATTCTTACACAGTTCCGTGTAGATGATAAACTCATAGATGCCTTACGAGTTTAATCAATGTGACGATTTCAAGTGGAATTTGATATGAAATAAAGATGTATATGCGTCATTGTTTGAGCATTACACAGATGTAAATAATACAGTAATACAGAATGACGGTCGGTAGTTACATATTAAGTGCATCTTTTTTGTGTTTCTAGGAACAGAGTTATAAGAAAAATTTTCCATTTCATTTTACTGTGTGACTCCGGAGACACAATGTGATCTATTTTTAAAAGAATGAGGCTGTTTTTTTTAGTTATGATAGCGCCATATTGATTCATTAATATACTTATTGATATTAAAGTACAGTGACTGATTACAAAGTTATAGTTATATAGTTATAGGTAGTAACCTATTATGAATGTACGTATTTATGGCTTACAGTCCAATTGCTTCTCGAGTTAATGCTGCAGTCATTCAACCATTTTTTTCTTTCAGGCGCTTATGTAAGTATTACAACGGAAACCCGGGAAGGAGGGAAGCCAAGAAAAAATAATAAACAACGACCAGCAGAGGCACCATCGCTGCAGTCGATTGATTCAGAGAGAACTTTTAGTTTTGTACAGAAAGAATCGGAGCCCTATTTCGGTAAGAAGGTGAATGTCGTTGCAGAGTACGATAACAGCAACAATTTGCTGCACTTGAAGTTCATCAACAACGAGGAGATTCCTCACGGCGTGTTACAGATCGTCAATATGACCCTACACTTCCACCCGTATTTGCGCGCTGTCACCCTGCGCCGCGGTCTCGACAAGCAGGTGCTGCATCAGCTCTGTCAGATGCAGGCACTAGCAAATATCACCGAACTCTGCATTGAACAGTGTTATCTGAAAGAAGGATGCTACTACGTTCTACTGGAATCACAAAAGAACCTTAAATACTTATCTCTGCCACGGTGCAGCATCGACGATGACGTCCTGGAAGCGATATCAGCACGGCTACAGCCGCCATATCAAGCATCGAAAACATTGGTTGTTCTGGATTTGTCCTCAAACAGAATCACTGACGAGGGAGCCAAAGGCCTAGCCGAGATTCTGAGGACAAACAGAAAACTAAGTTACCTGAGTTTGATGAACAATATGATCGGCGATAAAGGAGCGACAGCGCTGCTCGACACATTGATGCTGTTCCCGCTGCGGTCAGAGGAGTGCTCTGACGTGGTGTTGCGCCGCGCACGCTTTCTGGCCTACAAAACTGCGCTGATAGTGCCTAATATTGCTGATAAGCAAGCTGAGGAACTCATAAAGAGGAAAACGGTGAAAAGGTTGCACTCGTCGCCACGGTTCAGGATAAGCACAAACAATAAAAGTTCTGACATGGATATCTCACACAAGAGGAGTAGCGATAGCTACAGAAGCAGCTCCATAGCGGTAAGTGGGGGCCTGTATGATAAGACAAAGTCGTCGATTGATTTAATAGTGGCTGATTACTGGCACGCGTACAGCGAAAAGAACACTGTGCATAAGGCAGACGGTCTATACTGCCGTGGCAACGACACTCTCAACTACTTAAATCTGGCGTACAATAATCTGAGCGCAGTGGCGCTGCACAAGCTGGCGAGGGTAGTGGAAGCGCAGCGTATTGCTATGCGCGGTGGACTCTTCTGCGTCAACTTGGACGGGAACCCCATGCCACTTGACAGCGAATTCTTCACCTATATAGACGAGTCGCTACGGGTGCGCCTTGCCTCGCTTGTATCCGGCCGCCCTTCTCGCACCGCCAAGATCAATAGGCTCCGCGCGGGTAAAAATCCTCCCTAACCCTTCACAATACATGTGCCGCCATCACATAGTCAGCCAGTATTTCAGACCCTGGGCGGTCATGCTCCGAAACAAATTCCGTAAAATACTGACTGTGACTTCTATTGTTTTTTAATAAAGATGATATGTATAAGAAATTAATTAAAAGTGAAGCTTGGCTTTTTATTACAGTCGTACAGTAGTGTCTCTGAGTGGCCTAAACATGTGACGTTGAAACTACTACCGCTCAACTCGAAGCCTATTCTTAGAGGGCACAGCAGCGGGCGGAGCGAGAGTCTGTTTTGATTTATTAATCTCACGGGAGGAACAACAACGATCCGATTTAATGGTTAACCTTTCTGCAGTTTAGATTATGTAGGAAAAAATTTAGTACCCATGATACGACGTAATTCTGGCTTTTGGTTTATACGAATAATCCCACGGGACCGGTATTTCCCGATGTAAAAACAAACCGCCGCGCTCCTCCATCGGCCGTCCTACCGCCCCGCGGCTAAGGGTGTCAATTAAGAGTTACTGTGTTACGGTCGCTCGTCGGAAAACGTAAAAGTGTATGTCCAACAGCGACAGCAAATCTGCCATGGCCGATACTAGGGCATTCGTTAACGCCTTAATATTAACTAAGCAGCTATCCGACGGACGAAATGAGCACCGTTGCCAACAACTAATTAAAACAAGTAAGATAAATATTTATCAAAACGACTAACTTTAAGAGAAACGCGTAAAGAGGAAGTTTTCCCATTAAATCTGGCTTCGCAAGCTAATGCTAGTGTACACGAGGAGCAGCCTCTGCTGGCTGTGAAGTCGACAAAGAGCATCGGTGGCCATTTTTACATGTATCTATCTGCTCCGGTGGATGGTGCAAATCTTATACATTTAAACTTGGAAACTTTAGGGTACGCAGTTAAATGAGGAATACTATCAGTCGCTTGTTATATGATACAAAGATCGAGCAAACTCAGAAGAAATCCTTTGATCCGAACCGAGACGGACCTGAAGCAATGTCATTGTCGCATACGCAGGCGGCCGCTCGAGTAAGCGGGCCTTACGAATTTCTCTATGTGCTTGTTGCAGATCTTTCTTATTATTTTATATTATATTATAACAACAAACTAGTGGAGTACCATAACAAAAAATATATAAATGAAGTACCATAAATACTTAGTCCCGTTACGTACCTTATCTATTTCTGCCGCCAAGCAGTAATATGAGCGTTGCTGCGTTCGGATGTTGATAGGTACGGGTGCTGGTGAAATTAGAGCCACATGGGACTTGTCAACGTGCGCCTTGTCAACCGATGCCATTATCATAGAGACCATCGGGCCACCAGTGACGGACGCAGTGGTAGTGCCCTTGAGATCTTTGCGATTTAAAGCTCCGAGTGGCTGTAACTGCAACTGCTATGGAGAGGCGTGTCGCTTACCACCAGGCGCACGACTTGTTCGTCCCGTCGCTTGTTATCATAAAAAAAGCTGTCTGCCCGTCTGTGACAATTTTTTTTGGGGTGGGTACTGGCTCGTTTAAACAATCATATCATGATAATGTAAGTCACGACAAAACCTCTTTAAAACAGAAATTAATACTTTAATACAAAGAAAAAGATCACAATAAATGCAAAATTAAACCTATCCCAGTGGGATGTCATTGAGTAGACTTTTAAAACCATGGCACCCATGACATGAAAGCCTGTTCTCCGCATGACATATGGACGTCATATTTCTCGAAAAAATTGCGGTTTTCTTACAAAGACATTGCGAGATCGCCGTGCGAGTTAAAAGTTGCGAGAAATCACAAAAAAAACGACATTCCATCCTCGAAGCGTCGACGTAACTATTAGGTAAGTAATCTGTGGTCGAATCTTCAGAAGTTAGTATGGTAGTATCATAAAAGAAAGTAAATATTTTTTACCGGAAAACATCAGGTTAAAAAGCGATAAATGAAATCATAAATACAACCTGGACGGTAACGTATTAGTGGCACTCTAAGTGAAATCAAATGAATGTCAATTTGATTATCAACAGTTGACGGATGTTTTTGTTTGTTAAACCAAAGCGCTCGACATTACCTCTCAAAAGATGAGGAATGAAAATTACTAATGTGTGACGGTGAATATTAGGAATTGAATTGAATACCAGTATACGGCGAGCGGTTGGAGATTAATGAGAGCAACCCTCTCCGGCCGCGAATTGGTACCATGCCGGCGACGCAATGACGGTTCCTGCTGCTGTGTTCATAATAGTGTAAAGAGTTCTCAGTACGGGAGTAACTCTGCGCGCCGGCAACTTGCTGGGTGCGGGGAAGAGGGATGCAGCATGAGGCGGGGGCGGGATATTTTCAGTGAAAGTTCGCCTTAAGTGGCACTGTTCTGAGTTCGATACATAAATCCCTTTTTAGGGTCGGCCCTTGTGATTCCATTACGGATCCTTCGCCTGTCGGTTCCTATACCTAAACGAGTGTGCTGCTTGGATCTTGAATAAATACATTTTAAGATTCTTAAATTTTGACTCGTGAACCAAAAATGAACGTTTCAAATTAAAATCCGATTAAAATGAGAAACTCGTATATTAAGCAATATGAAACAATAATGCCACCTCAATTGACATTTTTACTCACAACGTTCAACGTGTGTCCAAGTCGAAGGCCATTATTCTCGAATATGTTGTAATTACCTATACACTCGTAAGATTAGTTAAGAGAATGTTGTTTTACATTAAAGCAATTAATTTTTGATGTGTGACTATTTTAATATTGCTTAGACTATAACTTTGTGATGTAACATGGATGTAACACGGACGCCATATTTGATTAACCGACTTTAAAAATGGAAGAGGTTCTGGATTCAATTTTATGAGTTTTTTTGTATGTATGTTACGCGATAACTCCCGTTTGAAGTTATCCCGTAAGTAGTCCCGTTGGCGTTGGTCCCGTTTAAATTTGAAGAGAATATTCACCTTTAAGGGTACAAAACTAGGAAATTTAATGACTTTTGTACTGAGGTTATTTTTCATGAAAATATCTAGCCTATTAAGCGCACAATCGAGATTAATCCAACAATGCCTCGTGTATCGAAATCGGTTGAGTGGTTTCGTCTCGTTCAACTATACGAGCATACATAAGCTGCTAAAATAATACCCATCCATAGTCGGTTAACAAGCGTAGACAAGATGACACGAAACATGGTTGTAGATTTATAACCGACAGCATCTGGGGCTGGTAGTCGTACGGTCTCACCTATGTAGAGACGGCGTGCTCAGCATTAATGCAGCTGAATCCAAAATCGTATAATAAGCATGTCTATATTAGATAACGTGTTTAATTGTAGGAATATAGTATGAAAACGAAGACACTCTAATATCGACCCCTGAATGAATTATTCTTTTTATTTATTATACATAAATAGTTTTTAAAAAGTAATTATTGCTCTGTCGCGTTTTCACTGGGTAGTGAGACAATTGTTTCGCTGTGTTTACATGCATTTTGTAATCGTTTCAAACAATGTGTAAATTGTTTGTCGCCATTCGCGCATGCTGGCGATATTACAAGTCAGGTGACTGAGCACTATGGTGACGTAGATCACATACCACAGACAACGAATAATAATTGCCCGTGGTCCACTCAGGTGAACCAGTTAGGTGGTCCACGGGCAAGAAGTGATAATTTTTTAGCCTAGAGGTGTACCACCGAGTAGGGATGTATGTCACCATGACATCAAAGGTTCTCTAGGATTCCTCCTTTTAAATTTTTAAATAAATGTAAATTTTATCACAAGTGCTACAGGTCAAACCTTTTCAATGTCCCTTGACACAAATTGCCAAAACCTGAAAGATCTAACTCGGGCTTTACATTTCTCTAATCCCATATGCTTGTAATGGATTCTTTCTAACATGTCCGATCGTAAGGATCTTGATACTACAATACAATTGTTTTTAAATATCAAAATATCACAGGTGAGGCAATTATTTCCATTCCTACATAAACTTCAATTTCCTGCTCTTATAAATTTTCATCACTATTAGTACAATTTCTTGACAAAGGATCAGCTAGCGATAAGTAGTTTCCTGGTTTATACTTAACTACAATTGTAGTAAGAGGGGGTGTATAGGGTGATAGACGTTTGCTCGACTAGCTGGTGCCCCCTTACTATGTCCAGGAATCAAACAGTGGAACTCGGTGAAGATAACTTGATTTATTGTAGAGAAGCTTACAATAGGCTTACAATACAAATGTGTGCAATAACAGGAATTCGTTCCGTGGGATGCAAGCGCTTCGCAGAGTTCGCGACATGTCCCGGGGGGTGCGAATCTTACAATAGGTGTTCTCGTAACTTGTCCCTAAAGATGGGCGCGAGTTCGATACGCTTCTTTCTAATGAGGATAACCGCAGAAATGGAGTCGTTGAAATTGGAACTGTTGACTTGAACTGTTGATTGGGTGAATATCAACAAATGAATTTAATTGTAAGGTTTAGTGGCGCAATTTCTTTCGATTTCCCAATATCCGAGACTCTTTTGCAATAAAATGAAACATTTCATTTATATATATGTGACAGGGACATAACCATTTTCATTAATTTCAGAGATATTAGGAAGTCAAATTTTTTATCGCAATTGCAAAGTTGCTTTACTACTCATAGGAAATGAAACTATGCAGAAATAATAAATAAACTAGGCAGGGGAACTTTAGCACATAAAGCAAGTCCTACATGCGAATAGGTTAAAGATTCCACGCCAATGCCGCACGCCCCGTGTGAAACCACCAACAGTCGAGCGAAGACCTGCCATCTTACCTTACGTGAGAGGTGTTACAGACAAGATCGGAAGAGTCCTCAGGCGTGCATCTATCAAGACCTATTTCAAGCCACTGAGGGAGATTTCTCAGTTCCTGAGACCCGTGAAATGTAACATCCCCTTACAGGATGCAAGAGTTTACAAGCTTGACTGTGAGTGCGGTCTCTCTTATATTGGACATACTAAGCGAAGTATTTGTACCCGCGTCAAAGAACATATAGCTGATGTCAAACACTGTCGCGTAAACAAGTCTGCAGTATGCGAGCATTTCATGGATAAACCTACACATTCAATGAAGTTTGACAAACCCCAGGTC